ATGACTCTGTCCATGTCCTGAAGTTTCTATATGACTCTGTCCATGTCTGTCCTGAAGTTTTATATGACTCTGACCATGTCCTGAAGTTTTATATGACTCTGACCATGTCCTGAAGTTTATATGACTCTGTCCATGTCCTGAAGTTTCTATATGACTCTGACCATGTCCTGAAGTTTCTATATGACTCTGTCCATGTCCTGAAGTTTCTATATGACTCTGACCATGTCCTGAAGTTTTATATGACTCTGACCATGTCCTGAAGTTTTATATGACTCTGACCATGTCCTGAAGTTTTATATGACTCTGACCATGTCCTGAAGTTTATATGACTCTGACCATGTCCTGAAGTTTTATATGACTCTGACCATGTCCTGAAGTTTCTATGACTCTGACCCTGTCCTGAAGTTTATATGACTCTGACCATGTCCTGAAGTTTCTATGACTCTGACCATGTCCTGAAGTTTCTATATGACTCTGACCATGTCCTGAAGTTTCTATATGACTCTGTCCATGTCCTGAAGTTTCTATATGACTCTGACCATGTCCTGAAGTTTCTATATGACTCTGTCCATGTCCTGAAGTTTCTATATGACTCTGTCCATGTCCTGAAGTTTCTATATGACTCTGACCATGTCCTGAAGTTTCTATATGACTCTGACCATGTCCTGAAGTTTCTATATGACTCTGACCATGTCCTGAAGTTTCTATATGACTCTGTCCATGTCCTGAAGTTTCTATATGACTCTGTCCATGTCCTGAAGTTTCTATATGACTCTGTCCATGTCCTGAAGTTTCTATATGACTCTGTCCATGTCCTGAAGTTTCTATATGACTCTGACCATGTCCTGAAGTTTCTATATGACTCTGACCATGTTCTGAAGTTTCTATATGACTCTGACCATGTCCTGAAGTTTCTATATGACTCTGTCCATGTCCTGAAGTTTCTATATGACTCTGTCCATGTCCTGAAGTTTCTATATGACTCTGTCCATGTCCTGAAGTTTCTATGACTCTGACCATGTCCTGAAGTTTCTATATGACTCTGACCATGTCCTGAAGTTTCTATATGACTCTGTCCATGTCCTGAAGTTTCTATATGACTCTGACCATGTCCTGAAGTTTCTATATGACTCTGTCCATGTCCTGAAGTTTCTATGACAGGGAGATGAGAAAGGTGCAGGGCCGAACTCAAACTCATTGTTTTTTAATCCACTATTATGCATCAGAAAGAAAATATACAACCACTATTCCCATGCAAATAAATTGATGTTGTCCCTTCCAGTTGTCTTTGCTGCGTTGGTTATGAGCCAATGTATATTAACGATCAGTTTTCTATCTGTACATTAGCTCCATCTCCACTTCACACTCACTGCAGCTTCACATTGGGCCTTTTCCTTTTTGCTGTGCTGTGGGGCGGCACGGTGGCTGAGTGGATAGCACTCTCGCCTCTCAGCAAGAAGGTCCTGGGTTCGAATCCCGGTCGGACCGGGGCCTTTCTGAGTGGAGTTTGCATGTTCTCCCCGTGTCTGCGTAGGTTTCCTCCGGGTACTCCGGTTTCCCCTACCACTAAAAATATGTACAATAGTTCTGGCATGCGCCTCCTGTACTGGCCCCTCCCATCTCTGTGTGGAGTGAGAGACTAATGCCCATAATTAACAATTGTAAACCGCTTTGAGACTCTGGTCTGTGAAAGGCGCTATATAAATAAAGCTTACTTACTTACTGTCAAAAATAACATGATGTATTTGGGAAAGGAAGGTTTCTCACCCATCATCTGTACTTCTTAGCAAGTTTTCCCGACCTTTCGTCCTCAAACTAGCGGACTTCTTCAGGGAATGAATTCTCGGACCGCGCGTTGGAGATTTATAACCTATGGGTGTGGTTAGCCACACCCTAATCCTGATACTAACTCATAAACAATCTAAGGTCTGATGTAGAAGGGAGCAGGTCTAACGACCCTGCTGAGGCTAACGACCCTAACTCATTAGCATGTCACTGACCTATTGTCTGCTGGGATGCTCAAGTGGAGTGCAGGTTTCACCCCTCCTAACTCATTAGCATGTCACAGACCTATTGTCTGCTGGGATGCTCAAGTGGAGTGCAGGTCTCACCCCTCCTAACTCATTAGCATGTCACTGACCTATTGTCTGCTGGGATGCTCCAGTGGAGTGCAGGTCTCACCCCTCCTAACTCATTAGCATGTCACAGACCTATTGTCTGCTGGGATGCTCAAGTGGAGTGCAGGTCTCACCCCTCCTAACTCATTAGCATGTCACAGACCTATTGTCTGCTGGGATGCTCCAGTGGAGTGCAGGTCTCACCCCTCCTAACTCATTAGCATGTCACTGACCTATTGTCTGCTGGGATGCTCAAGTGGAGTGCAGGTCTCACCCCTCCTAACTCATTAGCATGTCACTGACCTATTGTCTGCTGGGATGCTCAAGTGGAGTGCAGGTCTCACCCCTCCTAACTCATTAGCATGTCACTGACCTATTGTCTGCTGGGATGCTCAAGTGGAGTGCAGGTCTCACCCCTCCTAACTCATTAGCATGTCACAGACCTATTGTCTGCTGGGATGCTCAAGTGGAGTGCAGGTCTCACCCCTCCTAACTCATTAGCATGTCACTGACCTATTGTCTGCTGGGATGCTCCAGTGGAGTGCAGGTCTCACCCCTCCTAACTCATTAGCATGTCACTGACCTATTGTCTGCTGGGATGCTCCAGTGGAGTGCAGGTCTCACCCTCCTAACTCATTAGCATGTCACTGACCTATTGTCTGCTGGGATGCTCCAGTGGAGTGCAGGTCTCACCCCTCCTAACTCATTAGCATGTCACTGATCCAGTGATGTGTGAATGTGGAGTGATGAAAGACATTGAAGCAGGTGGTTATTTTTTACCGTACTAAATGCAGATGAAAAATCCATGAATAGGATTCTCGTGTGAGAATATGCGGAGTCCTGTTGCCTTGTAATCCTGTCCAAGAGCATGATGGTTGCATCCTCCGTGCCTCGCTTAGCTCTGTACGCAAACTGGAGTGGGTCCAGTTTGTCGGACAGTTCAGACGTCAGCTGGTCAGCCACCACCCTCTCCATGCACTTGCATAAGATTGAGGTCAGGGCTATAGGCCTGTAGTCCTGCAGGTCACTGGGCCTGGCCTTTTTGGGAAGGGGAATGATAGTCGATTCCTTCCACTGTCTGGGGACTGTGCCGGCGTTCAAGAGAAGCTGAAACAGCCTGGTGAACACTCCACACTCTGAGCACCCTGCCATCATATCATAGCCTTTACTAATCCTAAGGTTATCAATATCATTTATCCATATATTTATAATAATTTTCTTCATGTATATTATATAGAGTAATATTTAAATGTATATATACAATACATTTATATAAAGTGCTCATGTTAGATGTGTGATAAATTGGTGCTGAGGAAGCTCTGATGTGGTGTAAAAGTCTAACCTACTCGGCACGGTGGCTGAGTGGTTAGCACTCTTGCCTCTCAGTAAGAAGGTCCTGGGTTCGAATCCTGGTCGGAACAGGGCCTTGAGTATGAGTGGAGTTTGCATGTTCTCCCTGTGTCTGCGTAGGTTTCCTCCGGGTACTCCGGTTTCCCCTACCACTAAAGACATGCACAATAGATCTGGCATGTGCCTCAGCCCCTGGACATGTTTAAGAATTAAGTGCCCACCTTTTGGAAATGGTCACGCAATCATCCCCTGTCAAACTACACTTTTGCCTTTCCTCTTTGATTAATATTTACATAATCTTACTTCATTTTTGTTCAATCCTCAATATTCCTACAAAAAAACTTTCCCTGATCAAACATTCACACTTTCCTTTTCAATGGTCATAAGAACTTAAATAGAATGAAAACGATCATACCCTTACATCCACACACATATCTTATGTACAGACCAAAAGTTTGGACACTTTCTCATTCAATAAATTTCCTTTCATGACTTGACTGTAGATCCAGACCCAGGCTGTGTAAGGGCATTTTGTCCAATAAGGAGTGGTGGGGTGTTGGGCCAGATGACCCAGCCTCCAGTCACCGGACCTGAACCCGATCCAAATGGTTTTGGGGTGAGCTGGACCAGAGTGAAGGCGAAAGAGTTAAGCATCTCTGGAAACTCCTTCAAGACCTGTTGGAAAACCATTTCAGGTGACTACCTTTTGGAGCGCAAGAGAATGCCAAGAGTGTGCGAAGCAGTAATCAACCAAAGATGGCAAAATTGAAGAACCTAGAATTTAGAACATTAAGTTGCATTATACAAAAAAATAAAAGTACATAAATAATGCCAGTTCATTCATAGTTGATGCCTTCAGTGGGAATCTACAATTTTCATAAATGAAAATAAACTGAGGTGGTGTGTCCAAACTGTACGTTTGCAACATCTAAACTGGAGCCTATTTTTGGAATCCGGTTTTGTCATTCTCCTGGTCCTCGGCTGCAGATATTTACCATCTGTAAATATCTGCAGCCATTGATTTAGATTCAACGAGGGCATAAAACTCATATCTACATTCTCTTTGACAACTCGAGCTACCGTTTGCTTTTCACTCATTCCTTTAACAGCCCCATACCATCAGCTCAGCTCTCCCCTTCTCAGTGTACCTCAGGCACAACTTTTACAGAGTGAGAATCCAAGTTTTTCCCAACGGGGAGCCAAAAGTTTGTCTCTCCTGCCTCTACCTGTAAAGCACACAGGTGACGTCCTCACTGCACTCTAAGTCCTAATGCCAGAGATGGAAGTTCTGAGAGGCTGGATTTAGAAGGAGATCCAACAACTCATACTCCATTTGAAACCTCTGAGCTATAAAAACATTTCAGTGAACTAAACTCTGCAGCCCACATTGTAGATTTCCCCAAATTTAGAGATATTAAGTTAGTACAATACTGATTGGATTGACGGACTTTGCTTAATAGCTTGTAAATTGTATCCGTTTCAGCTGCTGGTGTGGAAGAGATACACAAAAAGAGACTATACGTTTGCAAGTTTTTATTTGTGTTGTAGTTTCTCGTAGTAACTCGTCACAGCTTTAATGGCCGACACCAACAGAAAGGTCAGCAGCAACATCCCAACAGCTCCAGCCACAATAGTGACCATGACAACACGCTCCTCCCCTGCAGACACAAAAGGTTAAGACCTCGTGCCTATACTTTCAGACTCATTAGGGCTTTAAAAGTCACATGCAAGAAAATTATAATCACTCATCTATTGGTAGAAGATTTAGATCACAATTAACGGGTTTTCCAATTTCAGAGGGGGAAAATGTAAGATGAATAGGATTAAACCATTGTGTAGTATTTAAAACTGGTTAAAGTACTGGAATCAAACTTTGTTTCTTCCCCTTTCCTTCCTCCTCAATCTAAAAAATAGCCCAGGTACCCTCAGGGAGACCACCTATAGCGCCACGATCAGGTCCTGAGGAACTGGCTGAGGTTCAGGATAAGCGGCAAGCACTTCCTAGCACCGACTTTGTAAAAGGGGAAGGGCAGAAACGCCAAGCCAAGGGAGACGCCGAGGCTCTTCCTCTGATCAGGAGTTGGACATGAGTTTACCTCAAACAATTCCAATAAGTGAAATTGCCATCACATCTCTGCGTCCTGACATAGTTTTGTGGTCCTCCAAAGCGAAAGCAGTGCACCTCAAACTCACAGTACCATCAGAGGGAGAGATCCAGGCAGTTGAGCACAAAAAAGGCAAAGTATGCCGAGCTGGCTGCTGAGTACCGAGAGGCAAACTACAATCTATCCTATGGAAGTTTGTTGGCTTTGTGGTGAATTTGACACGTCTTTTGAGGACAGATAAGCAATGGTAAAGGAGGTGCAAAGGAGGCCACAAAAGAGCTGTCGGAGGAGGCTGAAAAAGGCAGCTTCTGGCTCTAGTTAAGGAGTAAGGATAGGACCTGGGGAAAGAACACCCAACCCCAGTAACGGCTGCAGGGGGAGACACGGGCAGCGTCCCAATCACTACCTCGCACCAGGAGCCGTTCCAGAACTTAACCTGGCCGAAGACCCTGAAGCAAACCTAGCAGCCGACCCATGGGCACTGGAGGTGTGACATGCAGCAATACCCAGCAGGAATTACCATCTACCTGTTCTCTCGACTGAAGTCAAAACAGGCTGCTGCATACACAGGTAAAAAGTAAAATTGTGAAGTGCTTTTAGACAGAATGGGGAGGGTTTGTGGAGGAAGTTCCTGATATTAACAAGGATGCAGCTACATTTTTAGAATAGTTATAGGAACAATGTTGCAATTGAACAGTCTTCAGGGTGCCACTCACAGTGAGAGGGTGCGTCTCTGGAAGCTTTGTCCACTACCAAGGGGCCCACCGACACTACTGCAGCCGGTGCATCCTGTGTGTGGGCTTCAGTCACAGACCTTTTCAGCCTCCGGTCACCGCTGCAAACCTTATAAAGCAACACACAAATCCTCAGACCACATTAAAAAACACAAAACATTCATCCTTTTATGAAGAAATGTAGTCAGAATAAGTTCTCATTGTTGCTCATAAAAATTGTTCTGATTTGAGAGTTTGGTACTCCAGATTATAAAGATTAGACTGACTATGCTGATGGGACAAAAAAATGTCAGTGTTCCGTCACATCTTTGGCTCTATTTCCAAAACCAAATATAAAAAGAATCACCCTCAAGTCTGCTGCAAAAGAAATTCAGTCATACAAATCATAACCAGCTTTAAACCATTTTAAAGCTGGTTAAATGTTATCAAACAAAAAAATGATAGCTTTTAAAAATGATTTAGCAAATAGAAATGTCCGAGGTAACTGCAGCCTATAATTTGTTGGACATCTTCGTCACTCTACAAACACTGATTAAGTGTAAAACAGGAATCTCCAAAAACTCTGGATGACAAAAGGGCAAGTAAATCTGTAGGCACATTTAAGTATAGAACTAGGCAGACTGAAAGTACAAAACACAAATAAATTTACCAGGATAATGTGGGTAAGTACAAAATATTACACCAATTTAATTATCAAAAAGAGAAATGACATTAAGGAATTTGGGATGTACTGAATAATGTTCTAACAGCCTCTTATCCAGATTATTTTGTGGAGACTGTATATTATTGTAATTATAAGAGACAAAATAATGATCGCTGGCAGATTTACACAGTTGGTTAATGTCGGCTCGAAACATACAATAACAGCTAAAGAGTAATTAAAACTAAACGTTCCTCACTCCCACAGACACAAGAGATACTAAGTAATTAAAAAAATGCGAATCACGTGATATAAATATTGATATGAAAACATACGAAATGTTGCAGATAAAATTACTGAACCCTTTTACATCAGGAATTTATCCTTTCAACTCTGTCACTTTCCCTCAAATGAAAATGGCGAAAGTTATCCCACTTTTTAAATCTGAGCAGTGTCCCTTCTGCCTCAGGTCTCAAATACTAGAACAATGACAAGACTGACATTGTTTTTTCTAAAGCCCCATCGTCAATACGGGTTTAGGCAAAAATCTACATCACCAGCTCTAATTGATTTCATTGTTTGATACCATTTGTATTTTCCCCAAATTTGAATTAGATTTTTTTATTGATCTCCAGAAAGCATTTGATACCATTGACCATAATATCTTACTAAGCAAATTGGACAACTATGGCATAAGGGGACCAGCAAAAGAGTGAGAGACAGACTGTCCAGTTTGATCGACAAAGTGTCCGAACATCGGCCTACTTCAGTAAAATGACGGATGCGGCAACTCTACAAGGGACTGCTACCACAGCGGTTTCACAGGAGCAGTTGACTAAAACCAAACTTTAACAAAACTAACTCTTAAAACCCACATAACATTGCAGATGAATTTCAAATTGCAATAAAAGTGACGTTGTGTCTTAAAGTCCGTGATTTTTGAAAAGTTTAAATATGAACAGTTTGTGTCCGCCATCTTTGTTTGCTTCGGCTGCAGTGCATGTCTGCGGTCGACCGGCTCATTAATGGGTTGTAGATTGACAATGTTGTGGTCCGCTCTGCCCAGGGGGAAAGGGCAGACGAGATGTAGGCATCCTTAACATTCGTAAAGAAGTCCAGTGTCTTATTGTCTTGTGTGGGACAAGTGTTTAAAAAGACCTCTCTTCCCACTCGCAGCTGTCCAGTCAGGCTGGATAGTTTTAAATCAGTTCATATGCACAGTAGAATCCAGATTATCCGAGGTCAGCCAAGTCTCCGTGTAGATCTGGAAGCTGCACTTATGTTCCCGCTGGTATCGTCAGGCCGGCGAGCTTGTCTGCCTTTGTTAATGAGCGGTGGTCAACAGGGCAGTGCAGGTCTGGAGCTTTCTCCCTCGCACTTTCTGCACGTCTTGAACAGCAGCTCGTCTGGGATGTTGTGCGTCCTCTGGGAGAACTACAAGACCATTGGCACTCAGGGCACGCTAAGGCACAGTGTCCAAACCACGTAAAACAGGGAAAAGTTAGAAAAAGCAGATGAATGAGGTCCTCTGTGCCGTAGCCTCAAGCATCTATATCTACAAAATAAGACTAAATATATTGCGTAAAAAGATGAGTGAAAAGAGAGGAGCGGGATGGAACAGGCAACTCTCCTGCACCTCAAGAACAGATTGTTATTGACTATACGAAAGTATAGTATACTCGTTTCCACCTTAATTGGCCAATACTTTTTTTTTATACGCGATTCTTAGTTTCTCAGGCCTTTTTGGTACTTTTCCATAGTCACTGTACAGCTTTTTTGCATTTCGACTGGGGTTGGGATTACTTTAGTACCGCCTCGGCTGTGGTTCCAAGCACGCCGAAGATACACTAACGTGAAGTCAGTCGACTGCCTTACACTGATTAGACAAGTGTCCTCACTGACGACAAGTGCAACGTCTGACCCTATGGTAAACACAAACTAATCTAAAACTTCTTTCCTGTGCGTTGCATCTTGCCCTTTCACGTGTTGCTATTCTTTTTTTGTGCTTGTACTTAAGTTGTGTGTATATTTGTTTTAGAATCCCCTAGGAGGTTTGTAAGCCCTCAGTCGTACAGGGATTAGTCAAAGCAAAGGAAGGTTTCTCACCCATCATCTGTACTTAGCAAGTTACCGCTGGCTTACCACACCCATAGGTTTTAAATCTCCAACGCGCGGTCCGAGAATTCATTCCCTGAAGAAGTCCCCAGGTTGAGGACGAAACGTCGGGAAAACTTGCTAAGAAGTACAGATGATGGGTGAGAAACCTTCCTTTGCAATCCCCTAGGAGGTAATAGCCAGCAGTCACCCCACCGATGTTGCTACCGTTACGTGGTCTGGCAACCCCTCCCAGGTTGGATATACTTGGAGGTACTGTTTTAATGGAAAAGCACTCACTCTGCCGTGGCTATGGAAAAGTACCATGAGGTATAACTCAACTCATGTTTGGCCCCATTCTTTCTGGATGAGGCCTGTGTTTATATTGACAGTTGCGACTAAAGCCCAGTTGGGATACGTGATATATTGAATTGGCCTTTTTTACTCGCCTTGCAGCCATTTCCATTTGTTCCACAGGCAGAGCTTCTATGGCTGTATTTCTAGACTTTTAATATAAGCATACATACATTTGTGGGGGGACTGCACATCTGCAGCAATTCTCACTTAGATGCATGAAGACAGTTTAATTAAACTCATCAATAGGCTGTATTGTACTTACGTTAGTAAGTCCTGTTACAGGAGTATCTGCTCTGGAGCAGCCTTAACTGCTACTTTATTGGTGATCACGTGAAGCACTTTTGACATTCTACCCTGACTGCATATAACATTGCGATTCCTGGTATAGCTCTTTGGAGATTTATGTCCAGGCATTTCACATCAAGGCAGCTCATTAGCATAATGATCTAGTGTGAATTAAGTTTATTCCGGTCTCCATTGTGCATTCATCCATTTCCTTCCACTTTGCTGCCCTCCTGACCTGGCAAGAGACTCAAGCTGTGCCCTCACCGCCGATGGATATTCACCAAATATCAATGCCACACACACACACGGGAAGGTGTTATTTTTTGCCAGATTTTGATTGACGCTCTCACTTGTTCTTACCATGGTGCAGTTGCGAGGAGCCGCGCACACTGCAGCTCTACAGTGGAAGTACAGCGGCAGACTCTGCGGCAGGTGGAACATCTGGATGGAGAAGCGACTGCTCTCAGACGCTCCGTTCACAGACCACCATGAGAAAGTGTCATCCACCACACACCTGCAACACAGTGGTTCACACTGTTACTACAGACTACATACAGTGACAGCACAGTCCCTGCTCACGGTGTCTCCCTCTGTTAACACAAAAGACTAACATTTTGAATTGAAAAACATTCAAGTGTAAACTCTGAAATGGGGATCGAGAAGTTTTGTGGATGAGAATATTTGAGAAATCTGCATATGCGTGGCACTTTGGTTTTACCGCATGATCTCTAATTGGAGATGAATGAGCTCAAAAATATCAGTCCAGTGAAGGCATGCATATTCAAAGAGTCTTCTGAAGCTCACCCATCCCGAAGGAAGACCCCTCTGACCTCGTCCTCAGGGTCAGTGCTCTCTGTGGCCCAACATGACTCTACCTGGAATGGCAAATAGCACACAAAATTAAGTCATTAAAGATTCACTCAAGGACCCTGGTAAACTGCTTTAGAGAGAACAGGTTCTGTCATAAGATTAATCACTTCTGATTTCACATAACTGAAATCAGGATTGCCTCAAATAATCAGCCTTTGAGTGTAGCCATTTTTGGCTCTCAAGCGGTTCTCCATGGGTATCACTCTGTACTGAGTGGACCATGTTTTATTCTATGAAATTATTAACTGATAAGTCAGTGCTCCCCAAACACTGATGAATGGCTTTACTCCTGTAGAAGTGAAATGAATGAGGTCCTATGGAGGGGGGGGCTACTCCTTCGAATCAAAATTGCTCCATAGTCTGAACACATGAACCATCATTTTGATTTCACAGAATTTTTATCAGTGAAACTTGAGCAGCGGAGTGACCTTTTTTTTTGCCATTTTTGACCACATTAAATTTCCTCCTGTTTGCACTTAAAGTCCGATTTGCATAAAATTTGAACTGATTGTTCAACTCTTGGGTTTGGGTAAACAAAGTGTATAACATGAAATTGCAGCAATAGCGCCCCCTACAGACAGAGTCAGTTTTACATAGAAAGGCAGAAAGCTAGTTCTCAAAATGTTTGATATTTTGCACATAATTCTGGATTAAAAACTCAATACACCCATAGCTTATTTTTTACTTTGTTGCAGTAGCGACAAACACTCCCAATTATGTGTCAATGGCAAAAATCAGACAATATCATTGATCATAGGCATTCAAAATGCAGTGTAGCTCCCATCAGGGCTGTAGGAAGGGCTTTGCGCGGTGCGGCGAGGGCCATTCAATGCTGCTTGCGGCTTTGTTTTTCATATCCTCTATCCAGTAAACTAAATCTTATGGAATATGATCTAACAAAATAGAACAGTTGTGGAACCTGGATTTGTGCATCGTGGGTGAAGGCATTTATGGTTTGCAGAGAAACTTCAAAGTACAGTGTGTCGCCTGGATTCAACATCACAGCATCCGTGAAACTGGAGGAGAAGGAACTGTCCCCAAACAGACTCATGGACAGAGCCAGCTGCACTGACGAGTTGTAGGCCAGGACTGAGAGGGACGAAAGCCTGGAACAGGATAAAAGCATTAGAACACTCAGCTTGAGCCAACTCAGAGCAGTGCTTATAAATTGGCGTAATTAATAGTTTTAACTTTGATTACAATTCAACGGTTTCTGCGTTAACTGCAGAAAATGTTTCTGCGTTAGACTGAGACGTTTTCTCCAGTTATGTGTCAGAAGTGTTCCAAACATGGTGGACAAACCCCTAGGGTAGAGTCATGGTTTGAACAAAGGACACCATGAAAAATTGGTCAAAGGCAATGAGCCTTTTATTTGGAGACTACATTAAACTTTGAAGCAACTGTTTAAAGTTAAACTCATCATTCTAACAAAGCACAAGACAGTACTTTTCCTCTACATGCAGCAAAAGCAGATGATTCACGCTCATAATGTTCAGCTAAGATGCTAAGTATAAACATTTTCATATACAAAAATACAGGAACTTATAGAGCCAAATTGTTTTGTAGAAGCCATCATCAGTTGTAGGTGTTATGTCTGCATTTGTTTATGACTAAGGATATTCTACTTTCCCTTTAAGATCGGCTCCAGTCACATGTGCAAGTGTAGTAATTTCACTTTCGACATGCAGAAGCAGAGAAGACCAGACAGTTATGGTGCTTATGTCTGAACTTTGACAACTTTATTCACAATTATGCAGTTTGACATACGGCAAAGGAGGATCATCTCGATCATGTTTGTATTGGCCCTTGCCTGGTCGACACCAACGTACAAAAGGTCTGGATTTGCTCCATTGTTAAAAAAGGAGTTAACAGGTGGGAGGGGTTAAGATTGAAACGATTGGATCTGAGTTTTCAGTGACGTATGTAGTCGCGAGCATTCAGCCTAGCCATCTCCATTTCACTAACCAGCAGTAAACCATGCCATCTAAGATACTTACCTACAGCAGGCTTTTATTTATCATAAAATACGTTAATCTCAGCAGCCCTACAAGGCAGTACAGCCAATTAACTAAACTCATGCGGCTGAAATTTAGTTAACGCACGTCCATGCATCGGCGCTGGGAACATGGGTTTAGGGGAGACCGAGTGACAGGCCTGAACAGCTCTGAACAGCTCTGCATTTGTCAGGAGAAAAGCATTGAACCTCTGCTGAACCACAAAGACTGGCTTTCATTTCTCCGTACTGAATTACGCAAAAAGGACACTTGAAACTGAGTCCATAACCAGAACAAGGGCGACAAAACCAGTATACAATCAGACGCGCATGCATGAGCTGTAATGATCAAATGAGACAAACTCATAGAATCTCAATTTCCCAAAGTCCAGTCTAGAGAGGAATTCTCCAGGAACCTCCTGGTTGAGGATCGAACAAGGTTAAACTAAGTTGTTGAATCGCCAACAGATCAATGGTCTTTAATATAGCCCTTAATCACAGCAGTTGTATCAAACTAGATTAGGAATTCATGAATTTGGCATCCATAGCGCCTCGTCAGTCCTCACCAGTGGAGGTCGGCTCCCACTAGAGCTGTGCGCAGGTAGTGCCTTGAATACACACACTTCCAGATCATGCGCAGGCCTGACCCCCTACCTCCTGCCACGGTCACAGTCAGGACGTTCTGCAGCGAGATGTGGCTCTCATTCACCTGCACACACCAAGGAACAGTTATGCAGGGAGTCATGACCAACATGCCTATTGCCGTTTCTCATTTATAATTAAAACGTCAGTTTTATTCTGCTTATTTAAGCTAAAGATTAATGTATAGAGTAGTGCTATATTTAATATTGTCTTATCTTGCACGATGTGATCTTCATACCAACTGTTCTGTGACTTAGATCCAATAGGAGAAATTAAAGTGTCCAGTAGCAGCAGAAACACAGCCATCCATAACAAAACAAATAGATAATACTTTTGCTACTTATAGAATTAAAATGCAACAGCACTTTAGTTCACAGCAGCAGAGAGAGTAGTCACTTGGTACGGACCATTTTCTCTGGTCCAGACTAAAAAGCTGAAGCTTTAGCATTTTTCAAAAATGTTAAATTCCTCCGGTGGGTTTCTTCTCGGTTAGGGCTGAGAATTCTCTCTGTTCATAGTTTAACACTGTTCCAGACCAGCGCACTGTACTGCAGTGTTTGTACAACACAAAACAGCCGTTTCAGAGACTAAGGCTCCTTGGACAATTTCCAGCACATTTAAAAGTCGCATTTCCCTTTTGTGGGACAAATAAAGGATCACAGCTTCAGTTTGGCAACATTAAGTAAATCGGAACAATTTAAATGCCAAAGGAACATCTCTAAAGAGCCAGTACTCTCCGTGCAGTTTACCTGGCAAAACCCAGTTTCTTGATCCAAATGTTTGTAAAGATCTAATGATGCAAGACAGATTCAACAGACTTATGCAGGGCATAGAGAAAAACTGAATGTTCCAAACCAGTCTCTTGGTGCCGCACTGATCCTGGTCTCGAGGACTCCTGAAGTGGTAAAAGTCCTTGGTCTCGTTCACTGCACATTGGCCCTGGTTCAGAGACACCTTCAGCGTCCCCCGAAGACGAGAGCTTAAGTAGCGCTTAGAGACTCCGCCCATCAGAAGTTGGTTCAGACAGTGACTGAACATGCCTTTATCTGAGGGCACAGCAGTCACACCACATGAGCACCTTTATCTGGAGGACAAGGCAGTGATACACCAACCAGACCAAACTTTCACTTGTCCAGACGTTTGGGACTGTGCCTATCAAGCAAATTTATTTAAAAAGCACAATTCATACAGTGCAACCCAAAGTGCTTCACAAGCAATTAAAAGACAAACAAAAAAGTACACTCATTAAAACATTGTATTAAAAAAAGATAAACATTTTTTAAAAATAAATGCTTCAAATTATTATGGTTTGCATTTGACTAACACAACTCAAACATTGCCAGGGACAAGGCCCGTCTCACAAGCTCAGGGAGACTGATCAAAATTCTGGTGCTGCATTTTGAATGTACTGCAGCTGTTTTACCGCTTGTTGGGACAGACCTGTGAGCAGGCCATTACAGTAGTCTAACCTACTGGAGACAAATGCATGGATAAGTCTAAGTCAGGGTTAGACTTTGATTCCAGAAATGTTTAAATAATAAAAGCCACTGATTGAATTTATGTGCCGCTGAAAAGTCAATTCAAATCACGAGTCCAGAACTACCAAGATTTCTAACCTGACAGTTTCTATACTTCTGTGATCCAAGGACAATTGTTTCCGTTTTATCAGAATTAAGTTGTAGAAAATTGCTCTGTCATTGTATCCAACAAATCAGTTTGGAGCAGAAGGAATCCACACTGTCCATATTCTCAGAGCCAAGTATTGGCATAAATGAGAATGTGTGTCCTACCACAATTAACATTTACAAGTTTATTATTATTAGTCCTAGGTTTGACCCCTGTGGTACTCAACAAGTCAAGGCAATTTGATCTGAAACACATTTCCAATCTCAACATAGGACCTTCACTACTCTAGAGCCATGCCAGAGATCCCCACCCAGTTCTCTGGTCTCTGTACAGGGATTTCATGATCCACTGTATCAAATGCTGCACTTAAATCTAATAAAACTAGCACCGAGACTTTACCAGCATTTGTGTTCAGAAGCATGACATTTACAACTTTAAGGGCGGTCTCTGTGCTATGGTTTGTTCAGATGAGATTTTAAAAACTCATTTGATATGTTCCAGACAACTTTTTACAGAACCTTACTCACAAAAAAGATTAGAGATGGACCGATAATTATTTAAGACATCACCTTTTTAAAGATGGGCTTGATGACCGCAGTTTTAAGGCCCTTTGGGAATGTTCCCAGACTCTAGTGATGAATGTACATTTCTGGTGATTACTCACTGCAGATTTTAGTGGGTAGAAAGTCAACGCTGCAAGTAGATCAACTCAATTTGAATACATCATGGATCATGTTTTCACTAAAGGGTGAAAAGGAGGACAGTTCAAATGGTGGCTGTGGATTCACTAATGTGACTGAATTGAACCTTTGAAAAATATTGCAAAGTCATTGCATTTCAATGTTGTGTTCAATTCTAATGGCAGATGAGCTGGAGGATTGATTAAATGGTTCGCTGTTTCAAACAGGACACTGAGTTATCAGGCACAGGGCAATCGAAGACCCAACAGGTCCAAACTGAGTGTGTGGCAAAGAGGGGCTGCTACCCCGGTGTGGCTGGTCAAAGACCAGGGCAGAGTCTCTGCATTTTGAGTGAAAGTTTTATCAATGCGCTTTTCTTAAGTGGGAACATATTGGGTCTGGTGCATATTGCCTTGACATGCAGGTGGCTACAACAGTGAACAAAGTAACCCCGCACAATGCACAAGCCGCATTGCTTTCAACTCTACAGGGTCCCTTGTAGACCCTTACAAGGACAACAGTAGCTCAGTTGGTAGAGCTTGGCCTTTGAGCCAGAGGGTCGTGGGTTCGAGCCCGACTTTCACCGTCTGTTGTTGTGTCTTTGGCAAGACACTTAACCTCTGGGAACACCAGCCACAGTGGGGCAGCTGTAAGGTACCAAACTGCCGTTGTGTCCTTAGGCAAGACACTTTACCCCCATTGCCTAGAATGAGTCTGGTGTGTGTGAATGGTTTGTAGTGGTCGAAGGGGCCGATGGCACAGACTGGTTGCCTCGCTTCTGTCAGTGGGCAGCTGTGGCTACAGTAATAGTGGTTTATCACCACCGTTTTTCCGTTAAGTGCTTTATAAAACAGATCTATTACTTTTATTAGTGTAGTGGCAGAACGTTCATGTGGTATAGAGTTGGCTGGAAACTTCTGCTCGATATACGGGTCAACCTGGATCAAAAGTGCCAGAGCTGTTGATTGTCAGGTCTTGATGCATGGTGTAAAGGCCTAGATACACCAACCAGACATCTCCACAGTTATACCAAGCTACTCTGGGAATCCCTGTGCTGCTGTGTGCAGGAGGTACAGATGATGCCCATTATTAGACTGAAGCTTGTGCACATGAAACATGAGGTTGGATCTGTTAAACTAATGATTGCACAATGGCGTCAAACGTTGACTGCTGTTTATCACTTCCCTTTGTCCAGTTTGTTGTTTGACCTACGTAATCTGGTAGAAATTATTTGACGTTTTCAGACATTGCCCCCAATAAACTGCTATGGACAGTCGTAAACTGCATTTCGTCCACAAGAACATATTTAATTTGTGATATTTAGTTTGCTATTCAGGCTAACACCACACAGTGTATATGAACATTTACAGTGACTATTATCGAAAAGTTTGATTATACCGTTGCAGACTGGCTGCTCAGACTCTTTCACAAAGGGCCGGACATCGTAGTATCCGTCTGTGCAAAGGCAGATGAAGGAGCCCAGGGTGTTCAAGCAGACAGAGTTCTGTAGGCATGGGCTGGAGGAACACAGGTCTGGACCTGAGCAAAGCAAAGTACAACAGCACTCTTAGCATACCAACAGCAATGAACAGTGATCCATGTTCACAGTAACTACGCTTGAGTCAAGATTTCAGCTTCCATGTGCAGACTTTATTACATTTGGTTTTGTCCCCTGCTCTCTGGTTGGTGTGAACACCCCTTAAGATTTGGTATCTGGTTGGTTTCAGCAGCCTACATTAAAGTGACTTCTTATTTTTTTCTGACTTGAATGTAAAGCTGTATTGTATGATCCAACATTACAGCCATGTTCCATTTGGTTCAGAATTGTTTCAAGTTGGTTTCTCAAGATGAAATGTACAGTTCATCTTGAGAACACACAAATCTGATTCTCAGGTTGTCATAGAATATCTCGTCATACATATGAGGTTCATACCAGGCCAGTGAGAGATATTCTATGATTATAACAAACCTCATTCACATTACAGATATGGTAGTCATACCAGGCCAGTGAATGACTCCGTCATTGATGGTGGCATTGTTGAACTTCAGGTTGTGGAGGAAGGGCAGCACTGGCTGGACCCAGAGTGGCTCCACATCATTTGCGTCGCTTTCATTCTCTTGTTTCTTTAAAGTCCAAAATACAAACTCTGTGTGCTCTGACTGCTGTGCTGGTTTCACATCCAGCAACTCAACTTGCGTCTCAGGAGTCATGCCCAGCAGCAGTTCCTCCATCTGGACAAACACAGCTTTGACAAGTCTTTCAGGACACATGCTAGCATTGCATTTGAAGGAGTTAAGAGCATCACCCTGTGCTTGAGGATCTGTGCCATCTGGGTCCAGGAGTCAGAACTCTCCTTCAGCAGCTGCTGTGGAAGACTCCAAGGCACAATCAGCGTTATTATGTAGTCACGGGTATCTGCAAACATGAGGGTTTGATTTCTTATTGGAAATTAAGTGGCGTGATAAAGTCCGGGGTGTGTTTACTCACCTGCTGGTGGGATGAGATTGGTGAAAGCTGCTCTTCCTCTGGGCTCCACACTGGACTCCACAGGCTAAGCACATGTGATAGCAACATTAGTGCATTGGCTCTGCCTGGCCCCTGGGTTCCAGATAGTTTTACTCTAAAGTCTGTTCTGAGCTTTGCTACCTTCAACCACGCAAAAAGTGAACTGAAAAGCAGCCATCAGGCCCCTCCTAAATAAACAGTCTGGATGCCACGGTACTTAACTATCGTCCAATCTCAAATCTGCCACTAATGGGAAATTCCTTGAAAAAGTTGTCTACCAACAGCTTACCGATTTATTATCAACAACTCATTTTATAAGTTCAGTGCAGTTGTAGACCACAGCACTGAGACCGCACTCGTCAAGGTAACAATATTTGACGCAACACTGACGCAGGCAAAGTCTTTAGTCTTGTAAGCTCTGAGTGCAGCCTTTGACAATGTCGACCTCGAGATCCTCATACGGAAACTGGAGGACTGGGTGGGTGTACCTGAAACCACCCGAAATTGGCTTAGGTCTTGACAGGAAACACTTTGTGGAGATTAGAAACTGTCTCACATATGGCCCTGACCTGTGGAGTACCACAGGGGTCAATCCTGGGACCTTTCCTGTTCAAACTCTACATGCTGCACTCACTTTAATAACCACCTCAATTCAGAAACAGCTTTACCACCTAAAAATTTGCCAGGATCAAAAGCAGACAGATTTTTATCCATGTGCAAATTTCCTTTTGTACTAAGGTCTGGAGGTGCTCCATTGAGCTCTGTTAACTCCTTTGGCAGATTTAAGTTTTTATTGTATGTGCAAAAAAGCAGTCGCGTTTCCACCACAGGAACTTCAATCACCAGGAAATGGCTCCAAACAGACCCTCCTTCATTAGAAGATTGGATAAAACTTGTGAAAATAAAAAAATTCAAATTGAGCCTCTGACTTTTATGCCAAGAATACAGGCCATTATCCTTTACTCCAAATGGGATAAATGGTGTACATTTTACCGTAGGCTGAGTATTCTGACTATCTACATCTATAAATTGATGTACTGTGAAACGTCTCCATGCCGACTAAGATTTTTATTGAATAGAAGAAAAAAAAATAAAATAGATATTCCCCTCATCTCCAAACGTGGAGCTAAAGGGAAGGGTGTTACCTCCTTTATAAGGCCCTCATCACGCACCGTAATCTCCAACGTCTCCCTTTGAGAACGGCCCGGGCCATCACACTGCTCCCAAACAGACAGGCGATACGTCAGCGCCCCCTTCAGCGCCGACAGGGGCAGGACAGGCTGTAATACACGGCCGGACCACAGCAGCATGCCACTATTTGCTTGTGTCAGCTCAAAGTGGAAGGACACAGGGTAGAAGACTGGCGAGGAGCCGGGCGTCCAGGAAGCAGAGGAGCGAGACGGGTCAAAGTGCAGCCCAGACACTCCACGAGGCACTGAGGGGCACATGACACTTATTTAGATTTGGTCGTACGACCACATGTGCTATGATCTGCTCAAGTCATTATTTAGAAATAGGAAAATTAATGATCCATGATGAATACAATTTCAGGCTTTGGAAAAAAGTTCTAAAAATTAGTGCACATTTTTACCCGTCATTTTTCCTGAGGAAAAAAATAATCTCCACAAGTAAACTTAAAATGAGACAGATGCACTAGTTACACACTTAGACTTTCGTGTTGATAAACTCAGTATCTGGTAAGACCATGTAGAACCTGTAGCAAGATATGAATGTATTGGGAAATAAACGTATAATAAAAGAGCCGATAACAGGTCAGGGGCTGTATGCCTCTCAGAGGGCTCTTAAGTTAACCTCTAAACACCCAGCATGGGAGTCTTTGCTTAAAAAAGTTATTCCAGAACATTCTTAGAGAACTCTGAGAAAAGAAGGGACAAAAACTCCTGTCTTAGTGAGTCATTTTAAACGCTGCGATTGGTTGGGCCAAAAAGTTGGAGAAAACATTTTAGGTGATAATGGGCAAAGTCAATCATGGAATCTGATCTTAGGAAGACTTATTGAAAAGGTAGAAAGTCAGATATATAAATGGTAAATTAATACTTTGAATAGTAAGTTAGACTTTTACACCACATCAGAGCCAGCTCAACACGTATGCATGTGTAATGAGCACATTATCTATATCATTTTCTTATATATAAAGTAAAACAACGTTAGGATTAGTAAAGGCTGTGATACTGAAAGACTTAAGGAATCAAGGAAACAATAGCAAACGTATTAGACATACACAATAACATGCACTTGATTTGCACACCGTTTCATAACTAAATATACCACTAACTAAACTAAGCTGCAGCAACCACATCAGTTAAGTTAGAATGATAGGAGGGAGTTTAAAAGTCTTAATTTCTTCCCACTCCTTTTTGAACTGGATTGTTTATTAGAAAAACTGTATATTTGTACTTTCTATTCTGTTTTGTTTTTTCTCGTTTGCCATGGCTCAAAATGAAATTTCATGCTGAATGTGAAAATGTAGGCCCACTTGCACAGTATTAACACAATAGTTATATTTTCTTGATTTTATTAATAACCATGCTGGTCATTTTCTCAACTTTTACCATTTCTACTCACTTTCGTGTAACAGGGGTAAAGTGGATCAGCAGTGATCACTGACCAGCCTCCAAGAAGCTGGTCACATGATTGACTTAAAATATGCCACAAACATGATTCCTGCACGACTCGACCGGCAGCGTTTCACTCTCATCCAGTTAAGAGACATTTCTCCTGCCGCCACCATTTTGTCTCTTAGGGAACTTAAGCCGCTAAAAGTCCTCTCCACTCTCAAGAGCGCTCCTAAAGGTGAGATCTCTTAAGAGCTAGGATTCTTTAGGACTGGCTTTTTCCTTAGAAAGAATACGGCCCCAGAAATGTAAATGAAGAACAGTACAGTCAGATGAGCTTGTGCCGGACACCACTCAGGTAGCAGCTTGTGTTTACACATTATGTATCACCAAGTCTTGATATTTATTAAAACTAACTCCTTCAATGGAAAATTATGAGGCCGGAGGAAAGGTTCTATGGAACTTTTTATGTTTTTAATAGTTCAACCGACAACTATACATTGGATTTATTCATGAGATATTAAACCAGTACAAAGTTTGACCTATACAAAGTCAAACCTTGTATAGGTTGAACACTTTATAAAAAACTTTTAAATAGTCATTGTTAGATTTAGTTGGTACTCTAATTGCATTACAGTATCAATTGAACACCAATAGTTATTGAAGGTTGTATAAACTGATTCAATAAAAACATTACAGCATTATAAACCTTGTAATTTTGACTGATACTAATCATTTGAAGGTTTCAAACACTGCTCACCATTGCTATGAAGGGAGGTTGAGCAACTTGTGATCCATGACATTCTTGCCGATATGTAATCACCTCTAGCCAAGATGCGAGAACAACATCTTTTTGAAGGATACTCGAGAGCCATTGGGTGGCCAACAATTAACATTGAGGAATTAAGTCTTTTTGAAGCCAAGTGGGCTTGATAAAAAAATAGTTTTACATTTGAAGAAAATAAAAACATTTGTAGCATGAGTAGTTCAGCCATGTTTAAAATCTTAACTAAGCTCATTTGCATCATAGGCACTTTTGCTGAGGATTGGTCATGTCACAAGGATAGTTTGTCTCTGATTTAAAGTTTAATGCGGCATTAGGATTTTCAGCTTTTGAAAATGCTTTTATTTGACCAATGGAAAACAATGTTTCTATCATAAACTGTTGTAGTGCTGGGGGTTACTGTGTTGTGGCGCCCGAGCGCTAGAACGACAGTTTTCAGTTTCCATGTAAACGCTGCCCACTTCAAAGAAGGAGCCAGGTCGCTTTCACTAATTACTTTGCAGAGTCTTAGTCTAAACAGGGCCTCAGTTATATGCAGCTTTTTGAACGCTCTCCACATGGCATTCCTTCGCTCCATACACGTTGGTGATAAATTACTGTAGAAAGCTGTGCCATCGACTCTGGTCTGTGATAGTTTGTGGCTGACAGAGGCAGACTCAATTCTTGGCACATTACAGCAGCACAATTGACATCTGGTGTTCCTCATAAGTCTTCCATTACTTTCACATACAGGTGGTGCCATAAGTAATCTGATGTGCTCCTGCGGGCTGGAATGAAAACCTGCAGCCACATGGTTCTTAGAGTATCAGTTTGACACCCCTGCCTGACATGCTATAGCATTGTTAGCTAATGTTGTGAGTGTAAGGGGCGTACCTGTGTGAGCCTGGACAGTTTGCATATCCATGATGGTCTCCTCTCCACACAATGCCTCCACTGTAACAGAATGGCTTCTGCATGGTTCTAGCCCCTCCACAGTGAAGCTGTTGTCGATAGTGGTCCCACGAACTTCCCGGTCATGAGACACCCTGAAGCGAGATACTGATGACAAGCTGCTCACCTTCCAGCTCACAGAGTAAGAGTTTGGACCATAGGAAGACTGGGCCAGGTTCAAGATATTTGACTGATCTGCAAAACATTCGAATAATGGGGGGGACAAGGATGAGTTTCTAATGCACAGATGCCACAGAGGGCAGGATGGATGGTTGTATACAAAGTCTTTCTCACCGGAGTTTCCCTTATGCAAGATCTCAGGGCTGAAACGAGTCTCTGCTCCGCTCACGCACACAGTCTGCACGCCAAAGCTGAGGCGGGTGCAGGGAGGCAGGTCTGACTGAGACCACTGCAGAGGCTCACGCACCCAGAGGCTCTGCTCCTCCGGCAGGGAAAAAGAGGAGAGGGGCGAGGGGCTGCGGTGGTGGTACACAGTCAGCAGGAAGGTCGAGTACCTCTGGTTTGGAGGACAGTCCCAGGACACAGACAAACTGCTGCTGTTCACAGAAGACACCCGCAGGTCTCTGGGCTGGTCCGGGTCTGAAAGTCCCAAGACACATGTTTGACCAATTATATATGTATACATGGTGCCTTCAAATCTAATGAAATAAAAGCATTTTCAAAAGCACAAAAAAGCTGAAAATCCTCATAAAGCCACATTGGACTTTAAATCAGAGACAAGAAATTATCCTTGTGACCTGACAAATCCTGATATGAGAAGCTGGTTTGTACTGTGAGGGAACACTAGGTGCAGGGGGGCTGCAGTTGGCCAACCCTTACATATGTAGCATTATGTAAGATTGTAAAGTCATTAAATGGCTCTAATATGTCAAAACATTAATAAACCATGGTCTTTTCAAATACTTTAACTGAAAACAGTTCTGCAGAGATATCTTAATTCCTAAATTAGTTTTACAGCCCCCATCTCTTTATTGTTTTCATTTCAATGTCCCATCCTCTACCTTTTACCCATCAGAAAGTCTGATACGGGTTGCCAGAACTCACAGCAGCGAGTTAATCTCGTAACATTTGGCTGTAGAACTAAAGTCTCGTTATGATTCTCAAATAACGAATGACAAAGTTTGTGGAAAGAGTTATAGATTTGTTGTTGACAAAACTAGTCTATTCAGATATTATGGTCCCTGCTGGATTCGTCTGCATGTCTGGCAACCCGACTCAGAGTGAGACTTTGGCTAGATTTTTTACATACTGCTACTTTAAATCACCTCAGACTTTAAACAAAGTTGGATTACCTGTGATTGTAGACAAACAGATCAGACTGCTGGTTCTGGAGATTTTCACACAGACCACGTAGACCGAGCAGGACTCTAATGCCGTGAGCCTGTAGTGAGAGGCGGTGGTGTTCTCCAGACGCTGCAGGGAGAAGGAGGCCAGCTCTGAGCCATACAGCCCCACTGAGTGTTCCTGGGCTGGTGCAGAGCCAGGCCCAGGGAGCACCCAGGACAGCAGCAGCGTGGACTTTGTCCTGGACTCCAGCTTGACGGGCAGACGGACGCTGTACCCTGAGATTGGGGGGGGGGAAACGAAAGTATCTGGCAGTTGCAAATTGGTTTTTTGGGGTACAAATGGCACAAATAAACTTTCATTGCCATAAGTGCACTCAACTAAGTGAAAAATCCCTGTACATACATAGTAGCTCCTATGAAATGCTGGGCGGGTGGACCAGACCAAGTGGGAATATGAAATATATGAACCGTGATATCAGACTGGATCCCAGGCCAGATTACAGAAAGTAATCTGTGGCAGTGAAGCAGGAGAGAGTGTTCAAGTATGTGTTGTGGTCAGTGTATGGAGGATGGACGGATCCGCACGCACAGGAAGGTGGGGCAGATGCACCTGCAAGAAAACTGACAGGCGGCTCTCAAAACATTTTGATACAAGATTCAAATATCTGACAATATACATGTGGGGGAGAAGCACATTGATAAAATTGACCATGTATGTAGAGTAACATTTCACTGTTCCAAAAAGGTTGACATACTCTCACTCTGCACCTCAGAAACATGCATAATTCATACACAGGGCTGTAGTTTGTGTGATGGCCAAGGTGCATATCGATTCCGTCATGAAGCTACATGCATCCAGCCTCCAGTAAGAAGCATTGCCTGGGTCTGGGATAATTGTCAAGCAGGAGAAAGCTACACTACCGCTGCGTGCGTCACGGTGAGAGTTTGTAAAGCAACATGGCAGAGCCATAGGAGAGGAATTTGTTTTTCCGGTGGAGATATGCACACTATAAGTCAAAAAGGCATTTAAAAACGTGTTGGAGTGCAAGCTTTGTTGCAAGCGATTGCTCTATTCACATGCTCAGCACTCTGTATTTTCACTGATTCTTGTCGGTTAGGCTGCTTGTGTGTGGGAATTAATTATTCTAAAATAGTCTTTCAATTGCAAGTTTTGTAACGTGCTTTGTTTGATCAATGCAATGGCACTTTGGCCTGTCTGATCACCTGTGTGCTGCAGGACAGTTCCCTAAACTGACAATACTAATACAGGGTGGCGTTGTTGCAACAATTAATCTACTTAGAAGTTATTCTAAATTACAACCACCTTAAGCGCGGTACCACAAACTAAAAAGTAATGCAATAGTAACTAGTTACCAGTAAAAGTAACTAACTTAGCACTATAAAAGTAACTACCTAGTTACTGCTCCCAAAAAGTAACTAACCAATTACTTTTTCAAAGTAACTTGCCCAACACTGTCCACATGACAACGCATCAAAAAACTAATATATTTAAAAAAACTCCAGGCAAAGTGGAGATTTTTGAAAATTCCTTTCATGCATTTGCGCGTAGACAGATAACTGGAGTTTTGCGTTTTCGCACGTCACAGTGTGCCCCCAAAAACAACAAAACGTGCGACCTCTGATCACTGAAGCATGGATCTTACTGCCTTAAAAACTGTTCCCTGCTGCGAGCGTTTCACAGCAGAGAACATCCTCCACATCAGAGCAGCAAAGTGATCACGGCGACTCACGCTCCAAAACAGGAGCTAAACCAGGATTAAACCAGGGCTGAGGACAGTGCTTTTAAAAATATTGTCTTCACCACGAGTTACTATGACTGTAGAAGTGCCGGTGTTGGCATCAAAGCTCCGCCCACTTCTGTATTTTTCCCCAATGCAGGACAGGACAGAGGACGCACATGTTTGGAATGTTATGAATGAAAACGCAGATGTTCGGTTATGTGTGGATGCAAATTTTATAAACGGAAGGGGGGGGAATATTTGGTTTTAAAAATACCTGGCTACGTGTGGACATAGCATAATGCCGCGTTCAGACCGGATCATGCGTCGTGTGCTTTCAACGCAAAGTCAAAGGTGACGTGCGTTAAAATGCGTCTCGGGATGCACGCACAAACTGCTCAGTAGAGACGCACGGACTGCGCGGCAAAGTCGAAGGGGAGGTGCAGGACCAGAAAATAGCACTAAATTAATGAATTAACTTTGAAATACAGCAAACTACCAGAAAACAATTTTAACCTCCAGCAGCTTGACTGGAAGCGTGTAAAGTACAAAATCCAGTTTGAGTGAATCTAGGGAGTAAACCGTGCACATAAGTTTGAATGATTTTAAAAAGTTCAGAATACAAATATTAAAGTAGATATATCAGGAGAAATGACTAAGTAATGAGGGCGCAGCGCCTTTGCCAAAGGATCCCATGGAACACCTAAACAGGCTTACAGCAGGACCAGTTTTTATAGCTTTAGCCAGGCTTTCTGCACAAATACTTTCACCACATAAGTCTTCAGTGAATAGAAAGTTACAATTCCCCTCACCAATGGCCAAGAAGAAATCCTGCTCCTGGTGGAAAAACAAGGTGGCGTTTTCACAGGCGAACACCTCTGAGGGACTCAACTGCAGAAAACTCTGAGGGAAGAAAAGGTAGTCTCATCAGTAAATAAAAGATATCGGTTTATGCGTTGGGTCAAGTATCTGAAAGATCGTCATGTGCCCATTTGTTTGCACACCTTTGTTGCGTTGGATGGATAGACTGTGGGCTTCACAGTGCCTTTGATCTTTGTGTACTTTGTGTCTGTAACAAACCAAAGCAGACTGTTACACATCCAGCACATGTCCACTTTTCCAATCATTTAAAAATGCAAAACTTTTCCTCTCACTTCTTCACTCGTACAAACATTGTGTGAACATACTTAATCCTTTTATTTGTACATATGTTATGAGTTAGAATTGATATTGTGTCTGCACATGTGAACAAGACATTCAGCCCCAGCGGTGGACAATCATACATTTGACCTCATATTTGAGAAATTTGATGTTTACATATTAAGTGATATTTAATCTGGGGTTTGGCGTTAGCCAGGGTTCCAAAAAGGTGAAGTGTAGTACCACAAGTTCATCCCCATCAACCACGACTCACGCTGGTTGAGCCTGACGGCCCAGAAGAGGGTTGTGCCTCCGCACTGAAGGCGGAGAGTGTTCTGCACTCCTGGGTACACAGTAAGAGACGTCATCTTATCTGCACTCCTTATTCCCTCCAGCGCCGTCTCGTTCAACCACAGGCGACACCTGGGACTGGGAAACAAAGTCCAATCACACAGCGGTCAAAGGGGAGCACATTTGAATGCATTTAGGCCACTCCAGGAGTTTGACCATGATGATGAAGCAGCTGTGCACATTTCATTGTGTGGGGCATTTTTTTGATGAAATGCTAAAATGTTCGTCTGTCTTGCATATTTTATTGCCCTGCGTTACTTTACTGATTTAGCAACTCTGTCCTACTTTGTTCAGCTTTTGATTGAATATTTCAGCTCCGTCTGAATTTAATCTGATTTGTCCCTTCCTTTTACAGTAACAACCAATCTAGACTGACGTTCTTTGTATTACATTGTTTTAAGCTAACCATAACGTGCTAATTAACTTGATTGAAGCCTTAGAGTCCATTTCCCAAAATCAGATACAAATGTTCAAACATTTAAATATTCACATTTTGTGGTTTTGAAAGTTAGGTACCCCAGCTTTAAGTTGCTTGTTCCATTGGAATACAAAAACATTCAAGACTCAATTTTCCCCACAGTTCAATTATCATTTTACTTTAGAACTTTGCAGTATTCATTCACACATTTTTTGTCAAGTAAAATTCAGTATTGATCATTTGTAATGACAGAACAATTCAGAAGACTAATTTCCCTGTGCCCACAAATATACTAGTCATTTTTTTTTTTAAAACTCACATACCTTCCCAACTCATGATCCTTACTAAACCAGCACATGGAGAAGGAAATGTCACTGCAACGCCCTGTAAAACAAGCACTTGGTATAAGTGACACAGAGGAACACCACAACAGCAGCTACGACATGGACACAGGAGCAAAGAACCAGCCTCACCCAGAGAGATGCTGAGCTGAAGCAGCAGGAGAAAGCTGCAGAGAAAGGGCATGGTGCGTCTCAAGGGCATGACGAAGAGACAGATGTGGTGCGTAGGACAGAGCTCTTACATGTGTGGGATTAGTGGGACAGGTGGAACTTAAGTGTGTGAACGTGTGTGCTGATGAGAGACAGCTGTGTGTGTGTGTGTGTGTGTGTGTGTGTGTGTGTGTGTGTGTGTGTGTGTGTGTGTGTGTGTGTGTGTGTGTGTGTGTGTGTGTGTGTGTGTGTGTGTGTGTGTGTGTGTGTGTGTGTGTGTGTGTGTGTGTGTGTGTGTGTGTGTGTGTGTGTGTGTGTGTGTGTGTGTGTGTCGCTGATGAGAGACAGGTGTGTGCTCCTTCTCAAACAGGGGCCTAGTCCCAATACCCACACTGCACCCTTCGCCCTCCTATGAAGTGTGCATTTGTTCGAAGTGCACACCAGGGTTTGAGTGGCAGGTTACAGCACAAAAGACAGAATTGGGACAGTGCACACTGAGTGCAGGTGACGTCATCGACTCGTCAGAGATGGTCATTTTCAGACCTAAACTGTATAAAAATTAAAGGTAATTTTGTCTGACCCTTTGGGAAACAATATGAATTGCTTCACACACGTTAAAATACATGTATATTAGTTGTTTTTAATTAGAGATCGCTGTATAATTTTAAGTTAAATGTGGGTAACTAACTATCTGGTCAGTTTTTATACATTCTAAGATTATTGAACTAAGTGTAAAGTTTAAATTGAATGTTTTATAAACGCTTGCTTTAAAAAGTTATTAAATTGTTAAAACACAATGGGCCTCATTCACGAATAACTTCGTAAGAAACTACTCAACTTTCTTCTCAAGTTGTCCTTAAGTAGATTTCTAAGAAGTCCCCACGTGGGATTCATCAACGCACTCGTAAGGCGCTGAATTGTTCGCAGCTGTTCTCTCAGATTGATGAATCCCATTTCCTCGAAAGTAGAGCGCGCGTGCCAGGTGCTTCATTAGCATAGGTACTTAGCATAAGTAACCGCCCACTAATGCCCATATAAGGGACTGCAGGGCCGTGTGCAGACGGCAGAGGAAACAGCAACAGGCCTTTTTTCTTCTTTTACCAGACTGAGAATAAAGTTATAAAATGTTGACTTAAAAGTCGAAATATTATGATTATAAAGTCGAACTAGCAAAATTATGAGATTAATCTAAGAATATGATGAGATTAATCTCAAAATGTTATGAGCTTAATTTAAAAATATATTATGTATTATTTTAAAGATGAATCTCAAAATGTTTTGAGATTAATCTCAAAATATTTTGGACCCTGGGAGGAGATCCAGCGCGGACCAGCGCTGAGACCAATGCAGACCCGAGGAGAGACTGGAGTGACCAGCACACAGAAACCAGCGCGGACAGGAGAGACCGCATAGACTGGAGACACCTGACTGGAGAGACCGGTGCGCAGAGACCAGCGCGGACCGAAGAGAGACCGCATAGACCAGACTTGAGAGACCAGCGCGGACCCGTATGGATCCATGGGAGAGACCAGCGCAGACCCGTATAGATCCATAGGAGAGACCAGCGCGGACCCGTATAGATCCATGGGAGACACCAGCGCAGACCCGTATAGATCCATGGGAGACACCAGCGCAGACCCGTATAGATCCATGGGAGAGACCAGTGCAGACCCGTATAGATCCATGGGAGAGACCAGTGCAGACCCGTATAGATCCATGGGAGACACCAGCGCAGACCCGTATAGATCCATAGGAGAGACCAGCGCAGAGACTCAGCGCGGACCCAGTAACCTCCTGCAGCAGCAGTATATATGCCGTTGTTCTGTGGCCTGTGGATAAAGAAATGCCCCCTATAAATAGGAAGGGGTCACTAATACACGGCAAGATTTACAATGTATTTGATAAAGCGTTGGCACATTTCATTTCAAAATGAATTAAAAAGTAGGCCAGATCTGCAGTGAAAAAGGCGGTATATAAATAAAGATTACTAATAAAGATTACTACAAATAAATAAATACATACATCGATATGACGGACATATCACTGGAATGTTGTATTTTTATTAAACTTCACCAAAGAGGACAACCCCGGCTGTGAACATGTCGGCACTGAATGCGTACGAGTGCTCCTGAGGACTCGTAGGATTTGTACTTGCCCAAGACAAATTCTGGTTACGAGAAATATTCGTGAATGCCACTTTCTTCGTAAAAACCGCGTAAGTAGGATTTACGTACAAATCTGTTCCTAAGAACCGTTCGTGAATGAGGCCCATTGGGCCTCATTCACGAATAACTTCGTAAGAAACTACTCAACTTTCTTCTCAAGTTGTCCTTAAGTAGATTTCTAAGAAGTCCCCACGTGGGATTCATCAACGCACTCGTAAGCCGCTGAATTGTTCGCAGCTGTTCTCTCAGATTGATGAATCCCATTTCCTCGTAAGTAGAGCGCGCGTGCCAGGTGCTTCATTAGCATAGGTACTTAGCATAAGTAACCGCCCACTAATGCCCATATAAGGGACTGCAGGGCCGTGTGCAGACGGCAGAGGAAACAGCAACAGGCCTAAAGCAAAGAGTTACACGGAGCAAAAGTCACCCTTTTTTCTTCTTTTACCAGACTGAGAATAAAGTTATAAAATGTTGACTTAAAAGTCGAAATATTTTGATAATAAAGTCGAACTAGCAAAATTATGAGATTAATCTAAGAATATGATGAGATTAATCTCAAAATGTTATGAGCTTAATTTAAAAATATATTATGTATTATTTTAAAGATGAATCTCAAAATGATTTGAGATTAATCTCAAAATATTTTGGACCCTGGGAGGAGATCCAGCGCGGACCAGCGCTGAGACCAATGCAGACCCAAGGAGAGACTGGAGTGACCAGCACACAGAAACCAGCGCGGACCTATAGAGACCGCATAGACTGGAGTGACCTGACTGGAGAGACCGGTGCGCAGAGACCAGCGCGGACCGAAGATAGACCGCATAGACCAGACTTGAGAGACCAGCGCGGACCCGTATGGATCCAGGAGCATGCAGCACGGACCCGTATGGAGAGAGACCAGTGCAGACCCGTATAGATCCATGGGAGAGACCAGTGCAGACCCGTATAGATCCATGGGAGAGACCAGTGCAGACCAGTATAGATCCATAGGAGAGACCAGCGCAGAGACTCAGCGCGGACCCAGTAACCTCCTGCAGCAGCAGTATATATGCCGTTGTTCTGTGGCCCGTGGATAAAGAAATGCCCCCTATAAATAGGAAGGGGTCACTAATACACGGCAAGATTTCCAATGTATTTGATAAAGCGTTGGCACATTTCATTTCAAAATGAATTAAAAAGTAGGCCAGATCTGCAGTGAAAAAGGCGGTATATAAATAAAGATTACTAATAAAGATCACTACAAATAAATAAATACATACATCGATATGACGGACATATCACTGGAATGTTGTATTTTTATTCAACTTCACCAAAGAGGACAACCCCGGCGTGTGAACATGTCGGCACTGAATGCGTACGAGTGCTCCTGAGGACTCGTAGGATTTGTACTTGCCCAAGACAAATTCTGGTTACGAGAAATATTCGTGAATGCCACTTTCTTCGTAAAAACCGCGTAAGTAGGATTTACGTACAAATCTGTTCCTAAGAACCGTTCGTGAATGAGGCCCAATGTCCGTAATTCTTCATCAGACGTTTATGCTTCTTTCCAAGTAACAGCAAAACTTATTTACACACATACAGCATCCTTCGCCAGAGTGCGCATAGATGCAGGCTACGGCGAAGTGTGGATCAGGGGCGCAAAGGGGGCGGGGCCAAATACCTCCCTGGAGAATTGGGACTGGACCCTATGCACTCACACCAGTAGCGGCGCCAGGTTTGCAATTTTGGGTAGGCCTGCAGATTAGTAAGTAGGCCAAATTCGCACGCAAAATACAAGGGGAAGCTGGAATTGGGGTTTCAAAGAATATGGTTCAAACGCACACACGCACACACACGCACGCACATACACACAAGCTCATTTATGAACCTTGCGTAGAAAAATGTGTACATTTGGGGTGTATATTCCATTTACGCAAAATCCAACGTCGGATTTATGAACGTGTGAGATCCGCCCAGATCTGAGCGTATACGCAGCTGCGGGTGTTGATAAATCGGCTGAATACGAACGTATTTATGAAAGTCACGCCTAGAATTATGCAGCAATGTTCGCGACAGGTCAGCACGGAAGTCCAAAAAGACTGTTGGAAGCCTCAAAAGGCACGTTTGTTTGTTATGTTTATGTAAAAATAGTTTTGATACATTAGAAAAATCTCTCTTGAATTGTAGGAGTGAATAAATATAGATTGATTGAATGAATGATTGAATGAATGAATTCATATTTATTATGCAGCGGTGGCTCTCATGAATGAAGCGTCTGCAGTGTCTTGGACGCAGCCTGGCTCGGGGTAGAAGTGCGCATTAAAGCACTGTACACTTCAGAGAGTGTTTGCGGTCCAGATTTCACAAAGAAACTCTGAAGCCAGATGTGAGGAATACAAATAGCCGTGCGTAATTACGCAGCGCAGAGCCTGTCACAGCAATAGCTGGGTCACACATCCCTGTTGCGTAAAGTGTATTTATATAGAGCCTTTCACAGTTCAGGATCACAAACCGTTTCACATTTTAAAAACATATACAGATCAAAATAATACACACACAAGTCAGATTTAATAGAGATTTAATAGAGGGCAAGTTTCATACACACAGGCCTGGGGTTTACCTCATCAGTACGAGGTGAACCTGGCCTGACTGCGCTCTCCTCCTCTGGGACCTACGGCCCCGGGCCTCTGGCTCCTCTACCTCCCGAAGTTCACGCTGAACTTTCTTAAAACTAAAATGACTAAAAAGGCTGCTCTGTTGTGAATGTTTTGAGAACGTTGTCAATCTTGAAGACGAGGAATAGCTGCTTGTTCTCGGGAACGAGCTTCGCGCTGTGTGATATGATCATGCAGATTATTGGACAAAAATGTTCAGCCAATAAACAGGACTATATTTGAAGCAACGTGAA